TCACTGTTGTCTTGACAGTACAACATTGAATGTTAGACTCTTTCTCTGTTTTCACTCTGTTTATTCATTCCCCTCAGGTCATCAACAGGCTTCTCTCAATTACAATCGAGTAATTTGACTGCAATGGTGCAGAATTCTGTCAGCGAGAATGAAAAATCTCTTCAGACTTCACTTGTTCAAGAATGTGATCGTCTACCGGCAAATGCTGACAACAGAGGACACCCCTTTCCTAAACCTATCCAGAGTACGCCTGGTCAACAAAATGCAACCTCGCATCGTACAATGCAACACAACTCTCCTGATCCTCTTGACAATGTCAAATTAGGCCTTTACATCAGCTGCACCACAAAGGTTCAGGACTTTCAATCTGGTGTTCTCTGCATGGATATAGTCCCACATCACAGTCCTTCAAAATCCCAGTCAATAGAGAAGAAACCCAAGAGCCTATCTTCTGTCACACCCTCAGAAGCTCCATCTAAAATGCTCACTCTAAGCTCTTCTGGAGACTACAAAATTCCACACACCATTGTCACAGATCGGCCAGGCTCAGCCACCTCCCAATCACAGCGAACACCATCACCTGAGTACTGATCACACGCACCTGTCATAAATCTGCAATCATCATCAGCTCCCCTTCAAAAGCACACACCTCACTTCACTTCAGTGTCCGGTCTCGTTTCAACAAAGTGGGCTCTCTCTCTATGCTATCCGTGAGATACAGTGAAAGACTTACCTGCCTGTTATAATTACCTCCTGTGTTTTCTCCTGTGTTCCATTCCCTAGTCCGTTCTAGTCATCAGCTCCGTGGAAACTCCGTGTACTCATCAGCTGAGGTGTGTGCAGTCCTCTGTCTCCCTTCCACGATTGGCTGTGAGGTCCAAATACGGTGTTACTCTCCTCATCTTCCATAAAGACTTCTTTTTTTTTTCATCTTTTTTAATCCTCTGTGTGAGTCTCCTTCTGTAACAACCATCAATGGTGGTAAAAAATTTCCTGAAACTCAGGAACGATTTGAAGGTGGTCATGATCTACATATATTGCATATGCAAAGTGGTCTTAAAGTTGGTGTTCCTAACACACTGAACTCTCAAAATCAAAAACATGATTGGGATCAAGGTTTAAAAATATGCTCAAACAGACCTAAGATCCAACTCCAGCAAGGTGAAGATGGTAATTCTAAAAGTTGTGGCCAGTATGTGTTGGACCATAGAAAACTGCCTTCAACAAAACAGTCACTGAAATCAGCCCAAGATATTGTTGGGACTCCAGAGTTTGGCATCTCTTACTTTTCATTACCACACTTTTTTTTTTATCATTCCCACACTTGTCAGATTACCCATTTTCTATAGTTAACTTGAAAAAACGCTGCAGGTCCTTCACTCCAAGTCCAGAACTTGCCAAGAGAAGAAAGATTTGTTCAAAGTGAAAAACCAAACCTAATTCAGGCGGTTTGCATGGCTCCCTGGATAAGACAGTACTCATCTGTACTTTCCACCATGTCATGTTTACCAGTCTCCAAGGTGGGTTTTACAACAGAGATGAATAATCGAACTGGGGGTAGCATACTAGCAACCCATGAGTCATCACTGAATGAATCATCTCTTGTGAATCAGATCCCAACAAGCTCTCCCCTAAAATATTTTACTCCCAGTACCCACGGTTTGCCTCATCAAGTTGACCAACAGGACAGTGCTGCAAAGAAACCCTGTGTTAAGCAGTCACATGAATTGTCTCCAATCAAAGATCCAGTGGAATCCCGAATAACCACTTACTCATCTGATTTGGACCCTCCTCAGTTGGTTCCTTTTTTGCATGAAAACCATCAACTCCAGCGCCATCTGTTTCATGGTCCTCCAGAACTGTTACCCTTTTTTTCCAGACACCTGAAGATACTTCCCATACATCAGTAAGTAAAGCCACGAACAGCTTGTTCCTGTCACACTTCGGAGCCTCTGTTTGCATTGAATCTGCTCTCCTCCCTAACCTCACATGGTCCACAGCCTCCTCTGAGTCAAATTGGGATTCTGGCCTCTTGTCGTGGTTTGTGGATGGAGTTCCTCTTCAGGCTAAAGGGGGACATGATAACCTGGGTCTGTTATTACAAAAGCCACATACTGGCATCCAGGATGGGAGCTATACATCACGATTGTGCTCCATACTGCAACCCTCTTGATTCACATCATTGGGATTGAAGTTGCATCAATCCGACGACTGTTAATGAATTCAATCCTAAAGCAGGTCTTTATTCTCCATTCTCAGTTGTCATCATTTTTTCATTTCTACAATTAGATTAAGATGACTACCACCAAAATAATACCACGTGTGAAATAATACTTGAATGAATTAATTGTTGTTTTTTCATAAAGATTTTATTATAGGAGTGTGCCTAACTCTGCAGCTAATGTATAAATAATTTCCACTTTTCCCCATATGTTCTATTCGATGAAGACTGCTCAAACGTTTTTTTTTTTGTTTCTGGATAATGAAACCGTCTTGTCTTACATCAGTATTGATATATACATTTTTGTTAAGAATATTTAACTCTCCATTCCACAGTGTTTTTCTCTTAGTATGCAATATCTCACCAAAACCAAGAAAACAATAAGTTTTAATTATCAGCTGGCAAGTTTTTTCCCCCCCTTTTTCTTTGAGTGACCTCTATGACTTTTCTTATGGCTCTCTCTTGCCCTGAGTGTTGGCCATGACTATTCGGCAGAAATATCCAGGAACATGTGCTGGTATTGAGAATTTAATGAGGCTTTGCTGGAGGGGCATTATCCAGTTAGTTTAAGTGCTGTGTCTGGCCTCTCTCCAGTTTAGAGGCAGTGTTTATGGTAGAACAATGCCATGGTGGTTTTTGGAGAACATGCAGGATAGGATACACTGTGAAGGCAAAAATGTCCTATGAAGGTCTTTGAGGTACTTTGAGGTCATTTTTAAAAGACTTTTCTGATTTCCTGTAAATGTGCATCAGTGGATGTGGCAGCATGACTGGTACAGTGGGCAGTGTTTTAATTATTTGATGTCAGTTGATGTTTTAAGGCATCTTTTAGTGACAGTACTTTGTGCATTCCTATTATAGAAGTTCTGAAAGGAGTATACAAAGCTTGTACCACTGATGTCCATGTAGCATGATTAGAATCTTGCGCTTAAAAGATTTTCCATAAACACTGGAAATTTGCTTTATGAAGGCCTTAGGACAGTTAAACATGTTTTAAGACAAAATCGTGAATACATATAGAGTTTTTATAATTGTATTATTTTACTGTATCATGAACTATTGTTTTGATATTTGTACAGTTGTATTTTAAAAGCTGTTTACTTCCATTCTAGATGCTAGTTTAGCACTATTGAATTGTGTGCATGCTCATTAAAATCTAAGCTTAGACAAATGTTCAGTTTGTGTGCTTCTTTAGGTAAAGCATTGACTTGTTTTGAGTTAAGCTATCCCCTAACATTTGCTAGTCTGTTTCGTAGTTTCAGCTTTCTTTCTTACTTTCCCAAGGGTCTTTTATTTTGATGTGAATAGGTCTGTAATGTTGAAGGAGCTGTTTAAAGGACAATGTCAAGTAAGCTTTGATTTGATTATATTTTATAAAATAAAATTGTGTAATTATTAAAATTTTATTTTTGGTATTTCTCTTAGTGGATAAGGGGTGGTGGTGGTGCGGGGTAATGAACCGTGTGATATAGTAATAATATGGTATTCTTTCAAATTAATTTGATTACCATGCAATTCAATAATTTTATGAGATGCTGTATCACAATGAAATGCACTTATTTTGACCTTCCATTTCCTATGTGACGAATGATTGAGAAGCAACCAAGAAGTGGTTTGACATTTTTTGACTCACTTTTTGATCGGACAATGAAAAGTTAAGACCTTCTTTTTCTAACTGTATACCACTCACAATTTGAACATACAATGCTATACTTTTAAAATGACATCCATACTGCATACTCCTTCACAAACTATAGCTTTAAAATGTATTTAAAAATATATATGTAGCATGCCATTAATCCATTTGGCCATAGTTCTGATTAAAAAAGAAAATGCGGTAACACTTTACTTGAAGGGGTGTGCATAAGACTGACATGACACCTTCATTATCATGACACATGTCATGAATATGAAGGAGGTTTTATGCATGTTTATGACAACTGTCATTCAGTGTCATTCGCTCAGTTATGTCATTTTTAATGCAAATATGACATTATTTGACCTTACCCTAACCTAACCCTACCCCTACCCTTACCCCTAACCATAGCCCATAACAAATACATCTCAAACAATGCCATCTTTGCATTAAAAATTACATAACTGAGCGAATGACACTTAATGACAGTTGTCATAAACATGCATAAAAAACCTTCATATTCATGACACGTGTCATGTCTTGATTATGTAGGTGTCATGTCATGATTATGAAGGTGTCATGTCAGTCTTATGCACACCCCTTCAAGTAAAGTGTAACCGAAAATGCTACATTGGCCATTTCCTCTCCCATCAGATTGATGCATTTTCCATGTTCCCTGAATAGTGTGCCACGTGCTGTTTGCTATATAGTCTATGAATTAGAGTTGAAGGTAAATCATGGTTTTATATGAGTAACTAAAGATTAGTACAGATCGATTTAGTCCTCAGGCATGAGAGGTATTGCTGAGGATGGGAATATTTGATATGCTTTTATCTCTCAGATGGGCTCTCGACACACACAGACTTTCATCTCACTTTTAAACCACTTAGAAAATCATGCAATGCGTGCTGTTGTGCTTGCCAACTGTATTATATATCGGCTTATATTTTATCTGAAATAATAACAATAATATTTCATTGTAATTGTTATATTTTGCAGTTATTGCAGCTGTAGCCTACAGCATTTTATGTAAATATTGCGTATTGTAATATCTATTGTGTCTTTTTTAAGCGTGATATTTGTTCCAGGTTACAGACGTGGAATATCTGATGTTGCATGTGAGTGCGGTGAGAAGTGAAAGGGAGGAGAAGAGAAGAGAGGAGAGTGGGAGGAGGTGCGGGTGGGAGTCCCGCAGAAGGAGCGTTTCAATCCCAACATGAATTCCACCCGCAATCTGACCGACAACACACGAGCGATATAAGCAGACATCACGGTGCCTCGCGCAAGCTGATACTTTCTGAAGTCTTTCCCATCAGCGTCTGCTTGTTTTCCACGGATGCCCTTAACGTCTTCCTGGTGACTTTAACATCGCCGCGAAACGGGATGTGGCGGTGAATGTCGCGTTTCGCTTCTTTTCGCTCCGGTTGAAGCCGCAGGAGTAGGCTATGCGATCATGTTGGCGACGCGCTGCCTCCTCCTGTGGGCTGCGGTCACCGCGCGACTCGCCGTGACAGGTGAGCGACGAACGCCGCGTTGGGAGCGGCTTCGTGATATTAGTACAAGCTCCATCGGTGTAGCTATTTATGTTTATTGTGCGCCAACAGATGCAAAGATTTCTTCGTTTTACGGATGGCCCCGTTTTCTGTCACGGGCATGGCTGTGAATTTTCAGCGTCGCGCCAGAATACGCAGTGATGCCGCAGGCTAGATAGAGTGTAGCGGCTGTAAACGCATAGGAATTACTAAAACAGAATCATGGCTTTGACGATTGTCTTACAGTTTTAATGAATGTGTCCTATATTGAAAGGCTGGGGCAGCAGCATCAAGCGGGACGGAGCGGAACGGGGACGCGAACAGAACGCGTATGCAGAGGAGCTCACGCAGCCTCAGCGGCTGCTGCAGCGGACTGACGCGGAGGAGGAGCTTCCGCACGGACACTTGGGTACTCTAGTAAAGACTGATGCTGATGGAGCGCATGTGAGTGACTCTCCACTGAAACATGAAATCAAAATCGACCCCTTTTACTTTCTTAATGCACATGTTCCTGGTCTTATAATGAACGATATATGTGAAAAACAAGCATCAACTTTTATCATAATATAATAGCCTAACTTGCTCCCTTCTCTGAAATTACTTTACTCTTTGGCTGATGTCACCAAGGTCTTCTATCTTCCATCCCCTCCCTTCCAACTACCTGCCGAGTCCGAATTTGTGTACCATCAGAGTATTAATGCATTTGATGAAAACTTCTTGAGTGTTAATTATACATCATGTAGTAGTCCTACATTTGCCATTGTAGCACTGTCATGTGATCTACAACAATAGCTACTTTATTTATTTATTCATTTATTTATTGCCATTTACGAATATATCCACTTTCGTGGCCTCTGGGGATAGAAAAGTGTACTCTAAAAAATGCTGGGTTGTTTCAACCCAATGTTGGGTCAAATATGGACTAACCCAAATGTTGGGTTAAAAAGCTAATTTAAAAATGTAACCAAAATTTATCCCAACAGTTGGGTTAGTCCATATTTGACCCAACATTGGGTTGAAACAACCCAGCATTTTTTTAGAGTGTGCCAATCATTCTACACTTTTGACATTTTTCCATTCAGACCACCATCTAGTCAGTTCCAAAAAACATAAAATTAAGCATGCTCAATGGGTTTTAAATGCTCTTTCATGTTTTATTATTTTTTTAAATGGCCATGATTTGAAAATTCAAGTTTTGTGGCTTTTAGTGTGTGTTAATTAAATATTTTAGTTATTTTGATGCGTCTGGCTGCCAATAACAGTGTAATATTCTCAGCTCTTTGCTCAGCTCTCCATCTGGCCCTGCGCCAGATGCATTCCAAGGTTCCAAATGTTCAAAAAATCTCAGAATATTCCAAATACTATGGCATTTAATCCCAAGATTAGCACTAAATAAATATAATGGTATAACCTATTGCTCTAACTGCAATATACACATCTCCCTCTAATATTCTGATTAATAATTTACTGATATGTTTTTTTTTAAATCCCATAAATCATTGCATTTTACTATTAGGGTTATTAACATATTTACATGTTAATTCATTATCTTCTTTTGTGCGGTTAAATTGAATGTAGTTTCCTAAAGGACACGGCGTTATGTAATAAAGACTATCATGCACCCCCATATCATGCACTTCCGGCCTTGATAAATAACATTCTTAGCAATTTTCTTCCAAACCCCATTTGTCATGAAGGCTATAGAGCTGAGAGAGAATTGGCACTGAGCCCTTTTCAGAGGGGTAAAGTGCACATTAAAGGTTCTACTTGTAAATGTATACTTTAATGTAATATTGACTTCTTGCTGTAGAGGAGGGTGGAATATTTAACAGTTGGGGGAAGAGTAAACGGGTCTGTCTCAGTGTTGGTATAGACTGAATCTGTAAAGGGTTAGTTCACCCAAAAATGAAAATTCTGTCATCGTTTACTTCATCTTGAATCCTGACATCTGAAACCTGAGAGGTTTCTGTCCATCCATTAAAAGTCCATGTAACCACATTGCCACAAATACACCACAGTAAAGGCCTCCTACTTGCAGGGGTACTCAGTCTTGCGATTCCATTTAACATATTTGATGGGTTCTATGTTTGTGCGTTGATCAATGTTTTATGTGTGAGTTAAAATTAAAATTAAATCATCATATGAAGTGATTGAAGACTTGGATTAAATAACTTGATTCATATGGATTAGGTTTACAGTGTTTTTATGGACTTTTGAATCATCAAAGTTTTGGTTATGGACTTTTAATTGAGGGACAGAAATCTGGTCTGCAAATCTTCATTTGCACTTCGAAGATGAACAAGAGACTTATTGGTTTTGAATGAAATGAGAGTAAATGATGACAGCATTTTCATTTTTGATTTTGAACAATTTAATAATACAGAATAATTAACTAATAATGACATTATTACAATAAAAATTATAATATGTATTTTATAAAATTGTTACAACAAAGTATTGCATTTATACAGAGATTCTATAAATATAAGTTAATATCAAATACCTTACATTTCAGTTTTTCTACATTTTTTAATCCACCAACAAAAATAGTTCCAGAAGAAGGCAGGATATTACCTAATGGACATCATATGATACAGTACCAAAGGGCTACCACCAAAAAATGACATGACATTGAATGCTAATGCCAGACTAGTTGAAGCTTCAATAAACCCATTGTACAGATTAGACAACACAAGGATTGTTTGAAGAGTTCACTAATCAGCCTAGTTTTCCAGTTCTAGGCAAGGAGTTTCATTTATTTAGCACATTTATACACAGTGGTAATTCAAACTGTTTACAGAAAATGAGTTTAAAACAATCATGAAACAGATGCAACAGACATAAAATAACAAGAAGATTAATTTATCCTTTATTGTCTCACTATATTGAGAAATTTGTCTTGAGCAATCAGGAAAGCAGGTTAACATACAACAATTCACTATACAACTACACTTCATTCCATCCGGAAAAAAAAGAAAAGAATAAAAATGATTGAAAACTTGACATTTAATTGTATTAAAACTGTTAAGAGTAAAAAGACAGGATATATCAGTCGTACATAGCACAGTGCTCTACTTCACAGTCTCTATTTTCTATTCCTCACTCAAATTGTGTTTCAGAATGAAACAAACAGAATCAAACACAGTGATACAAGCAGTAAGACAGCAATCATGGAACGCTGTTTTCTTAGTCAAAATAGAGGACTGGAACTAACTTGTATAGACATACGTACGTAATTTTATTAATACTGTTAGGCGTTCACTGAAGTACTTTACTTTTATAATCAAAAGTTCATTTTACACATCCACCATCACTGTCAGAAAATGTGCAAAAACTGTTTTAGGGGTACAACAGCTTGTCACTGGGACAGTAAGGAAAACTTTGTATCTTATCTTAATATTAGTGAAGTTGAAATATACTGTATAGAGATAAATATGCCACTTAGAGAGTAGTACACCAGTGACAAGCAGTTTTTGCACATTTTTGTTTAAAGATTTTTGGACTAAACTTGTTGCAGTGGCTTGATTGCTCTGCAATTTGATCTAAATTATATATCTTAGATGACAGCATAATTGTGCTACTTTAAACAGTCTGTGCATCAGTCCACATATTGTTTTGTTCATATTGTTTAGTTAACTGAAATAAATCATGATTTCTGGTTAATTTGTGAGGTTGAACATTGATTCTTACTCTTATTGGTTGACGTTGTTATTGGCAGAGATACAGTAATACTGATTTGCTATTGCTGATGTTATTGATTACTATTTGTATCATACATGTAATTTTTGGCACCAATGACAGTTCCTTTTCCTATGACTTAAAGGAATACACTCTAAAAAACGCTGGGTTATTTTTTCAACCCAAATGCTGGGTTGAGACCGCTGGGTAAGGACGTTGGGTTGTTTTAACCCAATTTGTGTTGAAAATTGGTCTTGATCTATAACCCAGCAGCGCTGGGTTGGGAACTCAGATGTGAAAGAGAGCGCGCACGTCACTTTAAACATCGGACGACACCAGTTTGAGAAGCCGCCATTTTCTCAGCGTCTTCAGATGGAAGCGAGTGAAAGACGGTTTATGGTAAGTAAAGATTAAAAATGTAAAGTCATCATTCATTGTTTGAGTCCGGTAGTATTTTAAGATTTCATGGAAGGCGGAAATATTCCAAAAAGAGCTTGTATTGAAAAATACGCGGACGCGGATTTCGCCTCAGAAATAGTCTTAACTCTTTTACTGAATACTAGAGGTGCTTTTAATATAATGACAGTGAGTGCCTTATGTCATATTTACATAAGATTTTACAATATTTAAATTTTTAAAGGTGTTAAGAGAGGATTATTAACATATTTACATTTACATATTACTTCTTTTGCGCGGTTAAATTGAATGTAGTTTCCTAAAGGAAACAGCGTTATGTAATAAAGACTAGCCTAATTATTTTGAGGCTGATGAAGTGATAATTGTTAAAAGTAATGTTTTGCATGTTATATTTCAGACTTGTTGAGCTTTGTGTCTTCACTGTGCCCGCGCCAGGAGTTAACGACACAGAACCCTGCTTGTGTAAGGAGGCGATTTTCTCAGCTTCTTCAGAAGAGAGGGAAAGACGAGTCAAGTAAACTTCAGAATTCCATCATGTTATCAATTTTTTTTTTTTTTACTAAGAGTAAAAGAATGTTTGTTTTTGTAGATGTTGAAAGCCAGAGACATAGGAGAGCATCATTCTTTTGAGATTGATGTGAGTTATTTTTAGAAAATAAATGTTTCTGTTGTCTCCTGCCTGTTTACTTCACATTTTGACGCAACATTTTACGTGCTCATATTTTATGTAAACCATTGATGTCTGTGTTTTTCATTGCAGAACTCAAACCAACTTTGGAGTTGTCTGATTTGGAGAGTCATCATTCTTGGTCTTCGTTTCTTAAAGGAATAGTTCACACAAAAAAATCATTTACTTGCCCTCATGTCATTCCAAACCTATAAGACGTTTGTTGTCTATCTTTAGAACACAAATGAAGATATTTTTATCTCTCATAATTTTTTGTTAATCCATTGAAAGTCTAGATAATCAGTATTTTCAAGCTTCAAAAATACAGAGAAAAAATTAAGAGAATATTAAATATATTTATTTGTGTTCCAAAAATGAGCAGAGATTGTATGGGTTTAGAACAACACGGGGGAGAATAAATTGACTATTTTCATTTTTTTATGAACTAACTCTTTAAAGAGCAGCCCTCCACGCACATGAAATTTTGTGAGGTATGTGAATGTCATGTCTGTTTTAATGTTTCAGTAAAGAAGTAGCTTTCTGAAAGCAATATATTTATTTAAACAATATTACATGCCCTCACACTAGTGCTGCCATTATAGCATTCTAGAGCGCTGTGGTAGACTGAGACATTAAACAACCACACAAAGTGGTTGAATTTATAAAACAGACTATTTACCTGTCCTTACTGATGTGGATGCACCTCTATCTGAAGATGGATAGATTTTAATTAAATGTTTTCTTTTTTTCAAATGCTTTTCTAGTTTAGGCCACTGATGAAGAACAGGCGGTGACTGGGATGAATGCTGGTCAAAGAGGAGAATGTCCATTCCCCTAAACTGATGCAACAGTGGTTTTAAAGGAGGAGGCTGCCTTGGATAATGTAAAAGATGTCACATGCCTTTGCTGTGCTGATAGGGCTTCTTCATGACTACATCAATTATGCTAAAGAGATCATGGAAATGGGCAGCTATGCCTGATCTGTATTCATGGACTATGAAACAAACTGTAAGTGTATAATTTGTAAAAACAAAAAGTTAAATGCTTGTTCTGTGTTGTTGTTTAGTAGAAATTGAGTTTACACTCTGTCATTCATACACATGCTCACATTCTTTCACACATATGTTTCTGATAAATGTTATAATATCAGTGTTAGTGTTGTGGTTTATTTACTGTCATGCCAGAATAGTTTGTAAAGAACTTAACTATTAACTAATTGTACAACTATTGTATAATAGTGCTTTTGTATAATATGTTTATGCAATATATAAAATTTACCAAAAAAGTCTAATTTGATCTTAAAAGTTATATTAAACAAATGTTCAATGCTTCATTTATAAACTCTGTAGCTGTTAATGCCATACTTTTCTGAATTTCTTCTTACATGCATGTTACTTTTGACTTTTCTCTTAATCAATATTTATCTTTTGATAGTCATTCTGTGTGTGTAAAAGTGATTTAATTTAGTAGTTTAATGTCTAGCTCGATTTGGGTTCATTTTAGCCTAGCAATGTAGTAATTTTAAACCATAAAAAAGCAACCCAGCATGCTGGGTCAGACATAATAACTGTATTATTTTATTATTTTAACTTCAATCAATATTTTATAGCTGTGTAATATTCAGGATAATGTATAGTCATCCGGATGTTATTGCAAAATTGGCTTCACAATGGGGTCCTGAGCATTTATTTGGCTTAACATAAAGTATTGTTTTACACTCTACCCATCTCTGTCTGTATTTGATCTAACCTACTGTACAGTGCGAGACTGTAGTTTTTGAATGATTTATTTAGTGCAATAAATGAGTGTGGAGGCACTCCCTGCTTCTTGCATTGAGGCAGGTATTCGTTTTCGTGTCTTCAACTGCAAGTATTGCAAGGTGATCGCATTTCACACCCACACCATTCGTCTTCTGTAACCAGGGATGCAATATATACCACCTGTCTGTCAAAGGCCATTTTACATCCTCATAAACTTGAGCTGCTTTACCTGACACTGGTGCAGAGCACTTGACAACCCTTATGTGACCGCCCTACAGGCACTGGACCCAACGGCTTCTGTCTGAATCTGTCACCTATTCCCTCTCTTTCCCTCCACTTTCCTGTCAAAATCTCCACTGTCCTTTCTCATAAAAGCATAACTTTTAGGCAGGACTTTGATTTGGAGGGTGAAGTGTGTTGTCTATGTCAAGTGGTTGGAGGGGCTGGTTTGATGATGTCGGTTTAGAGGCAGAATAAGTTACATTTTGATGGAAGATTAAAAAGACAAACATTTTGCTGGTTGAAAGCTGATTTAGTTGCTGTTGTTTTCTAATAGGGGCTTTTGTTTTGATGTGGTATTCACTTGAATCAGGGGGCTGCATCTCCCACCAGCAGAATGATCTGTCAGTAGAAATTGGCAACTGACTGCAAATCGCTGAAGTCCTGCTAAAGCAGCATCCAAACTGAAAAGAATCATAAGAAGTGACTGATTTGAACGTTCTACATACACAACTCCACATAATTCCAAACGAGTTTACATTTACGTTTTTACAAGGAATACAAGGAGCGTTTTTTTAGTTAGCATATTGCCAGCAAAAAAGTGTGCTTATTTGTATTGAATGTGCACTTAGTGTATTCAAAATCTTAAAAGTTAATATTTTTAAAAATGTACTTGCAAATAGTGTAATATTCATGAAATAAAAGCCCAATTAAGTGTACTTAGAGTACACTTTAATGACTGTTTAACACACTGTAATAATGTCACATTGCAAGTTTTACTTTAAAGTACACATCTTTGTTTTAATAATCCTTTGTCATGCTTTAAAGAAGAACACTTATTTTGAAATGTTGACTAACATACTAAAGCACATGTAAAGTACTTTATTATAATAGTAGTTTTATTTGGTATTAAAGTATTTTAAATGTGCTAAATTAGATCTTCATCATTACAAATGTGTCATTGCAAATATAATTAAAGGGCACCTGTTATGCAAAATCTACTTTTACATGGTGTTTGGACATAATTGTGTGTTGGCAGTGTGTGAACACAACCACCCTACAATGATAAAAATTCAAACACTCATTATTTTTTAATCCCCATTAAACCAAAACAGTCTCAATAGGCCTGCCATTTTGATTCTCAAAGCAATATGACGTCACATTGTTTAGGCCCCGGCCACGGCCGTTGACTGACAGTCTTGCATTACCGTAGTTTCCACCCTCAGCAAATTGTGTTGGTTGTGCGCTGTCCTCCATTTTCTCCGCACTCAAGCAACTGTAATGTCAACAATATCTCGTAAGCAATCCCGGTGTTCTGTGTTTGGATGTAAGACTGAACATAAGATTTTTCATTTTCTCCCAACATTTACTTTTATTTTTGAAGGTAATGCGCCTCAAAATCTGCCTAAATCGGTATATGTCTGTGCAAATCATTTCACTCCAGACTGTTTTGTGAATGTCGTGTCATTATAGTGCTTAGCTAACATTTTAACCGTTTTGTAATCGATCTATGAGTATGTCATGATCTATAGTATCGAACGCAGCACTAAGATCAAGTAAAACTAGCAATGAGACACAGCCTTGGTCTGACGCAAGAAGCAAGTCATTTGTAATTTTAACAAATTTTACAAAAAAACGTGTTTTTGTGCATATGCTATCAAAGTATTTTAATTGATCTGTGCTGCGCTGTCTGTTCAGTGATGCTAGCAAACAAGTCCTCCCTGCACTGTCGAGTTGATGACAGGTCAGCGCTGCGTGAGCTCTGTAACATCGAGCTGTTTAGTCCAACTTTTGGTGCGTTTGGCTTCCCATATGTACGGCTGAACAACAGTCAGTCATATTGCTGTTTATAGCTGTAGGTATGCAAAGCAGAGACGTATACACTACACCCTCTTCAAAGACAGGGTGGGAATATGCAGCTCACTACACCCTCTTCAAAGACAGGGTGGGAATATGCTGCTCATTTGCATTTAAAGTGATACACACCAAAACAGCTCTTTTTTTAGGCATGCCCCAAAATGACATTTTTCCAAATGTTATGATAAATTACATTTGTGGTATTTTGAGCTGAAACTTCACAGACACATTCTGGGGACACCCAAGACCAATATTACATCTTGTAAAAAGGGCCATAATAGGTGCCCTTTGAGGTTTGGCAAATTTCAATAGAAATTACATTAAAGCATATTTTAGTTTACCATAAATGCTTGTCAATAAATTTGATGGTTCACTTTAACCCTATTTACACTGTTGTGAGTTAAAGGACTGACATATTACATAGCTTGTATTTGACTCAAATGCTTGTATTGAAATATTTACACTTTTTTTTAATTCTATCAATGATAACAATGATTCATTGATTCTATCAGCATTAAATTGTGCTAGATGGTGAGTTGGCACAGGTAGAGAGCTTTTGAGCTCCTTTATGAAATTGTGCAGAATGCATAACAGTGACTGTAAAATATGTATTGTAGATATGGGAGTCGCATATTTTGAGTTTTTATATTTGGGATAGGGTCATTGGGTTAGTTTTGAGCTATTTTTGATTTGCTATTAAGCTAGTTTTGTTTTGCAGACCTAGAAACCCTGTCATATAAACTCGAAATATAAAAAAATATATATATATTCCTATTTCGGGGATCTGTATTTTAAAGTAATTTAGTCAAATCCAAACAAGCTTTACAGATCTTAGTGAACCATAAACAATTAATGCATATGCGCCTGTGTAACAGTCTTTAAGCCAACAGTTAACAGTAGGCAATTAAATTCACAGTTACAGTAACTTAGGACAATAAAGAGACCTTTCTACTGACTCTGAAAATCACCAGAATAAGATGCCCAGGGTCCCTTCTCATCTGCATGAACATGCCATATTCTTGCTGCAGGGAGGCATAAGGACTGCATATATGGCCAGAGCAATAAACTGCAATGTCGGTAATGTAAGACGTCTAAGACAGTGCTACAGGGAGACAGGAAGAAGGACAGCTGATTGTCCTTGCTGTGATAAACCACGTGTTCACCCAGAAATGTCTGGGAACTTGCAATTTCCATATTGTAACCAACCTGCCTGTATCTGTTCTTCTTTCTCTCAGCCCATTCATTTGGCTCAGATCTCATTCCAGGTGACGGCATTTGGAATCCCATTTGTTCTAGACCTGGAGCTCAATCAGTATGTTCAAAATCCCACTTACTTAAAAAAAAGAAAGAAAAAAAAAACACTATGATTTACTTTGAAACAATTCTCAATCAGAAATTTCACAAATAATTACAAATAAATGGCAAGTAACATTAATGGCAAGTGAATTAAACATTACATTTTAAAGAAGAAAGAATGAAATTGTATTTTAGTGTAAAACAATAACCTGTATTTATTTACGATTTCCAAAAATAATTTTTACAGGACACTAGCAGAAACACAAATATTCTCATTCCCTCTCTCTATATTATATTATTCCCTCTAATGACATTTATGTGTGTGTGTGTGTGTGTGTGTGTGTGTGTGTGTGTGTGTGTGCAGTGATCTATTGTCGTCTAACTATGTTGAACGCCAATTCGATGAGGATGGGCGACCTTTTCAAAGTCTGGTAAGGAAAATAATATCCCTTTTTCTATTTGTATCCCTTTATATTGATTTTGTTACAGATTGATATTGGATCCCCTGTTGCAAATAATATCTTAGCTGTAGTAATATAACCATGATAATGTACCATAATTCCATGGTAATATGGCTTTATTAGTTTTCATTAGGGACAAATATCATAATGATTTTTGAATAATATAATAAGACATATAATTAGCAAATTCTTTAATAGCTGTAGTTCACTGCCTGTCTTTTAATGTAAACTTCTGAGGTATCATATGTGGGTCTGGGAATATACCCACTCCCTTTCTTAGCACACGACTTTGATGCAGTGAGGCAAATGAGTCTGGGAATGCATCCGCCCCTCCTGTTCAGTGTCAACCACGTTTGACCAATCGCAACATTGTTGCTATGACAACTGCTTATAGACAGTTCTAGTCCACTTTGTCCAACTGAGTCAGAGAGAGAGAGAGATAGAGACAGACACACACAGGAAGAATGAAGCATTGAGTGGAAAAGCTGAAGTCATTAAGCAACTACACTGCAGCAGAGATACAGAAACCAGGACTGCAGTGCAGAAAAATACAGCCAGACTGGTAGAACGAATCCCAGCAGCATTTGAAAATCTACCTCAGATACACCAATCACACCACTGACATTAATGTCTCCTACGCGTTTAAATGTGTGGGTGTCCGCTTACAGACCCCACCGCTCTTAAATTTGTTTTGTGCTGTGGACATGATGAATGATTCCTCAAATCTTGTGTCTTATCAAGAGGATGTAGCTGTTACTTTATTAAGTGATCAGATGCAACATTTTCACCAATAGAGTGAAACCAAAATAGAGCAATAGAAACCAAAATATCAGATTTGAGGGGGGACACGTTTCACACCAGACAGGAAGAAAGGCATGCTAAAAGCGTTTCATGAACATTGGAAAAGTGATCTGATTAATTTTAATGGGGAATGTTGCCGTGGTTACTGTCATATTTGAGGGCTGTTCACTGTGTAATCATTTTACTTCGATACAGTGTGTGATTGTGAATGTGTGTGAGATTGCAGGGAGGAGAGCACTGTTACTATCACGGTCACGTGAGAGGAGTTCAGAGGTCATGGGCAGCTCTCTCCACCTGTCATGGCCTACAGTAAGCGGCAACACTTTATCTGCTTCAACAGTGCAAAGAGAACAAACACACTCAATTATCACACAATATTTCAGCAATTGCACTTTGGTGACATCAGTATGGTGGCATTGTATTTCAACCCCTATTCAACCACCATATATTCGCATAATTTCCTAAATATTACTGTTATTGTGTCATGAAATGTAATTTTAAAAGTATTTCAGGCGAGAAAGGAGTTGTTTAAAACTCAAATCTGCAGTTTATTTATAAAGACAGCGCCTATTTGAAAATGTGTGTAACACAGTTCGTAGTCACGGGAAGGAGGAGGCGGGAACCGGCGAACATTTAAAGACTTTAATAAAATAAACAAACACAAAATGAAAGTAAAGCGCCAGCCCCTCGCGGACGACTGCTGCACACAAAACACTAAATAAAATCCAGGCCTGGTCCTCTCTAATCCAACACTGTTGTCACTGTTGTGAGCTCCTCCGTGGGACTCGAGACCGGTAAATGGCGCAGGTGTCGTGCATTAGCATGTACTCCACCGGCCTCGCTCCGTTCCCACGGCTCTCGGCCCCGCCCCTCTCGTCATAATGTGTGTCGCCAATTTCAGAGACGTGAGCTCCAGGCGATCAGCGGGCACTCAGTGCTCATGTTTCCCGACGGGAGTAGCCTAACTTCGGCTAGTCCTTCTGACATTTGCCGCTGGCTCTGATGTCTTTGTAGTGGTTAAACATAAGATATAATTAGTTTTGGGTAAATCTAACAGGTAATCTTTGGTCTTTATTCTATTAATGTTAAAATGAAAATGAAAAGAGGCAATACGGTTTAAGTAACCTTTGCTAAATTAGTTGCCGTAGCACAAAATATAAAATTATCAAAATTATTGCCCACTATTGGGGCAAGAAGCCCCCCCAACTGAACTTTTACTGAATGTATAAATAACTTTTTATATCATACTTAATTGTCTTTAATGTAAAATGCTAAATCAGCTCTTCGATGTAAAATGGTTTTGGAAATTTAGAGTAATAATTTAATTACTGATGACAGACAAGGCAAATTCCCAGTAAAATGGATTCATATGAAAGATACGTCCTATGGTTATATAGACATAAATATATTTACATATTTAATTTAAATTAGAATTCGGTTGAATTATTTCACTCAATTAGCCTATAGGTGTTACGGAGCGAACGAGACGTGAATCTGCAAAGCTTTTATTTAAAGGCGTGGTCATAAAAACAGGCAAGGTTCTGACAATGGCAAACAGGTATACTGAGGGCAAGACAAAAAGAGTAATCCAAACCGGGCGTGAGTCAGTCGACAGCGAACATTATCCAGAGGGCTTGAAAAGAGGGGAAATCCAATAACACGAGCAGTAGTCCAGACGAGGTGCAAACACAGTCCGAAACAGCAGGCAAAGGGGTTAATCCAAGATAAACAGGCACAAATCAGGTAACACGGGAAAGCAGGCAAGACAGTTCTGACAATGGCAAACAGGTATACTGAGGGCAAGACAAAAAGAGTAATCCAAACCGGGCGTGAGTCAGTCGACAGCGAACATTATCCAGAGGGCTTGAAAAGAGGGGAAATCCAATAACACGAGCAGTAGTCCAGACGAGGTGCAAACACAGTCCGAAACAGCAGGCAAAGGGATTAATCCAAGATAAACAGGCACAAATCAGGTAACACGGGAAAGCAGGCAAGACAAGACTATGACTATGACTAGGAACTAAGGACTAGAAACTAGGGCAGGAAACTGGCTCCGTAATGTGCTAAAACTAGGAGAGTGATAAACGCAAACAATTCTCAGCCGTGAATGGTGATGTGAGACTGATTTATATAGTGTGTGTTATTGGTAGCAGCTGTGTGTGATTGGTTTCAGGTGAGCTTGTGATTAGTGCAATGGAGCATGGGAAATGTAGTCCAGGGTGATGTGTAACAGTCTGTGTGGTGTGAGAGTCAATATCATGGGAGGGCGACCTCTGGTGGCAAGTGGATGGAAATTCATGGACCAGATTCGTGACAATAGGTTTTAAAGAAAGGCGTAGAAAAAAACTCTAGTAACAACATGCCACTTGGGGCCTTCTGTGCCAATTCTACCCATTCAAAATAAAAACTATAATTTAATATAAAAATAAGTAAGAAAATATTTTGGTATTCAATATAATGAAATGTCATAGATCACTATTTTCCAGAGAAACAAAATTAGATAAATTGACCTATTGACTAAATCTCACAAATGTATATATTCAGTTGAAATTACAAAAATAAAAAAGCACTCAAGGTCTTTTAAATAAGGTTTACATATACTTTTGATAATAATAATAATATATTAGTAACTGTTGAAATTTAAATTTACTGAGATTAAAAAATGAGTAGCACTTTATTTTAAGGTGCCCTTGTTACACGTTACATGTACTTACTATTATAAAAAACAATAAATTATGCATAATTACATGCAAGTAACCCTAAAACAAACCCTAATCCTAGCCCTAACCATCTAGTAAATACATGGTTACTTAATATTACTCAGTACTTAAAGGTATAATTACATTGTAACAAGGACACCTTAAAATGCTTTGTTAATTAATACAGTTAAGTAACGTTAACAAATGGAACCTTATTGTAAAGTGGTACCTAATAAATCCCTATCAAGTCTGCATTTTTAAGCTGTATTAGGGTTGTTGTCATTGGAGTGTCTCACATTTGTGATGTTGGTGTGTCTACAGAGGGATGTTCTCAGATGGCAACTTTTCATACGGCATTGAGCCCTTGCACAACAGCAGCGGCAAGGTCAGTATGCAGCTGAAATATTCATCTCTCTCAACTTTCTCTTGAGGAGAATTGTCACTCTATCTGCCTGTTGCAGTCTGGAAAAAATCACGAGTAGACACACAATTCCGAAACAGAAGAGACAGGGAAGCACTGAATATTAGCCACATGCACAGAAATGTGCATTACTGTGGTTGACTGACAGGTAAAACAGCAGACATCTGTATGTGGGACGGAGGTGAAGAGCAGAAGGAGAGATGTCAAGTGACAAAATATGAGACAGAGCAGCTTATGCATGATATTAGAGCAGCACTGCATTATGAGATCGAAGTCTGTCAAGAAATTTGATATAAAATGAAGATTGCCTTTTTTTAGAACAATAAGCAACATCTGACATTATTTTCAAGACAAGTGATTAATTTGTACCATTTTATTTAGATATTATAAGTACAAAGAACATATTTCTCAGTTTATCATGACTAACAAGACTATTCTGGGTTAAATGGGGATTAAACTCTGTCAATAGCATCTGTGGATTGTGGTTAATTACCAGAAAACATAATTCCATTCGTCTCTCTCATTTACAGTGATGCACTTGTGTTGGAAGCCTACCAGGCATGGCAGGTGGAGGGTGTATGAGCAGAAATGTGACACTTGTATTTTGGTTAAAACACCCTCGTTCAATTTTCTGTTTGGCCTTTCAGATGTGATGCTGTTTGAATGGTTGTTTTGAGGCAGGGCTACTTTTTCAAGATGGAGCAATAAAGAGCACTACAAAGATGTATTTTTGTAGGCCAACCTGGAAGTTAGCATCACCCTGGTTCCCTCAACAAAAACCCAATATGATTTTTACACTGGCCTTTGGATTATTGCAGAAAATAAACTCTGTGACCAAGTGTATGTTTCTCTTCATCATGATAATCTGAAAAACATTTAAAAAAATTTACGAACATTTACTAAATGCAGGCTATAAACAAACTACACCATAGTCACATGATTTCAACATCACCATAAGTTTCTGACAACTTTTTTCAGTCTTTAATAAAAAAAATTATTTAAAAAAAATATTTTTTTTCCCCCCAGAAAATTTTAGTTAGAGTTTGCTTTTAAAAAATCACAAGGGGGTATTATGTATTTTAAAATACTGATGTATTTTATGGTATTGATTAAATATCAAAATATCTTGAGCTTGACCTTATTTCAGACATTTAACCAAAAACCCATTGACTGTATGACGATGGAACAGGAAAATGAACTTGTTTTCCAGTTTTGACCTACAAAAATTTCTGTGGGAGGAGTTTGTTCCAAGACAAACAGAGCCGCTACAAAAGTAACCAAATTTATTTTAAGCATAGTTGAACATGAATCAGTTTGATGTCTTCTATTTGTGTAAATTGAATTACCTGAAAATGACTGTGACACAGTTTATGGTGCATTGACAGTAGCATGCCAAAGGTGTTCAGATTATAAAATGCAGAGGTATTTACTCTCCCTACACAGGATGTAAATACTCATGTTGTATACAGAATGGCAGACATCCGGTTGAGGCCACATTCCTCAGGTAAAATACAGATTCCTCCCATTCGACAAATATTGTAAAATGACCCTCATGTCATTTCAAAATGACTGTCTTTCAAAGACTCACCAGTCACACATGAACTCTGTCATGACTCTCATGAAAATACTGATTGAACAAATTAGAGACAACTTTTTTTTTTTTTTTGGTATGGAAAAGATCAACTTGGACAAATGTCTTGTGCTCTACAGGATAAAAGAATGTTTTTATTTTCAAGTGTACTCTTCCTTTAATACAATAAGACATATGCAGTCTCTGTCCTATATGATCTATACTCAGGGGGTTTTCTTCATCAGTCAGACCATGTCTGCTTTTACATCCTTCCTGATCTCTCTCTTTCTCCATCTGCTGCATATTGATTTTCTGCATGGATAATTTTTTAGTAATACACATCTTTATCGATCCACTGAAAGCTGACAAGTGGGAACTTTTTGTTCGGGATGGTTTTCATCCGTATATGGCTGCTTCTCTTCCAGGAAGCACCAGGAACAGCAGTGACTCTGACATTAACAATGAATATCCCGTTTCTATGGAAACAAATGAGCCGGAGCTCACAGATGGGCTGAGACGGGCAAAAAGACAGGTGAGAGTTTTTATTTTTGACATCAGTTGATCAGTTATTTTTTATTTTTTTCTTGAAATTAGTCATGCACAACAGGCTGCCGAAAAGGGCACCTAGAAATTGGTTTCAACCAAAGGCGGACCGTGGTAAAGTTTTTGTACCGGGCCCAAGAATTCCTAAATGAGCCCTGCATGCTTATATCATAGGTTAGTCTCACTTTTTAATAGGTCTTATTAGTCTTTCACTTTCACTACCGCTCAAAAGTTGAATAAGAAAACTAGTAATGTTGTGACATATTAATACAATTTAAAATAAGTGTATTCTATTTTAAAATGTAATTTATTCTTGTGTCTACAAAGCTGAATTTTCAGCCGTTATAACTCCAGTCTTCAGTGTCAAGTGATACTGAAATCATTCTAATATGCAGATTTGCTGCTCAAGAATTTTTTTATTATTATTATAAATGTTGAAAACAGTTGTGAAGTTATACTTTTGTGGAAACTGAATAAAAATATGAATTTCTTTTTGTGCTTACCCCAAACTTCTGAATGGTAGTGTATCACAAAAGCAAAAACAATTAATGATCCTTTTCAAACTTTTCAAACGTTTTCAAAACTGGTTATAAAAAGATGTGTTTCTTGAGCACCAAGCTCAAGAAGACTAAAGACTGTAGTAATGGCTGCTGAAAATTCAGCTTTGCCATCACAAGAATACATTGCTTTTTAAAATATATTCAAATAAATAACAGTTTGTTTAAATTTTAATAATATTTTATCATATTACTGTTTTTACTGTATTTTTGACAAGTGATGTAAGATTTCAAGATATCAAACACACACAAGAAAATCAGGAAAAGGCAAAAAAAATGTGTCAAGCTGTGGAAAGGTGGGAGGGTAGAGGTTGGGAAAAGGGGAGGGAGCCACACAACAGAAAATAAAACACAGGCCTACAACTAATTCAATATGCAGTTGAATGAATGCCAAAATGTGGGTGGAGACAGTTGGGGGGGCACTTCACTTCTATTTTAGAAATATACCCCTATGACAACAGCTCCTTTGCATGTGTCCTAGAAGAAAGGCAGCGAGGCCCAGTGGCCTACCCAACTAATATGGCCAAATTAAAGAGAATAACCTTAATAATTTATTTTTATTTCACAACCTCTTCTTCCTCTTTAATATCCAAAGCTGTCATATCATTGCTGTCCTTGTTATCAATTTGAGGATCAAGGAGCACCTCTTAGTGAATGTCCCTAAAGCAAAGCTAAATAATATTTAATTATGTAGATAAGTCAGCCACGCCTACCTAAAACGGCTCGTTCTAACACGCCCCGACATATCTATGTCACTATGTGGAAATATTAGCATAATGTGCACACAAAGAAAGAAGACGTGGTTTCAGGAACAGCAGTCGTGTTGATGCAGCCAGGTCAGGGAGACTCTGTGTTTCAGTACGAAAGCAAAATCACTTTATTTGGCCTTCCGGAAGTAGATGCAATTAGGAATCATTGGTTAAGATTTATTTACAACAGAACAGCACAACCCAGATGTTCGAATTTGTGCAACGCATTTTATGGACGAGTACAAGGCTGGCTGTGCAAAAAGGCTATTTCTAAAAAATAAAAAAAGGGTAAATTCCGACTTTGCTATGACAATCTGGCGCTTCTGAATCAGCGACTGTAAGTATGTTTTGTTATTAGTTTAAGTAAGTAGTTTTGCGCCGCGCAGAGTAACGCGTCGTGTGTGTGTGAGGGGAACAGGGTCACATCACAGGAGAGTGAACTGCCTGTCAGAAATCATAGCACGTCAGCTGTCTTAACCGCTGTGTAATGCATAATGCATAAACCTAATGTGTAATGCATCATCACTGTGTCTGTCACGCGCCTCTGTTGCCCTTTCATGCTTGAACTGATGGTAAAACTAACAACATTATTAACTGTCTTGATATTTACTTTGAACGCTGACGCTCGCGATTATGGTAAGGGGCGTTACATTTCCGACGCGTGCTTGTGGTGTTTGGCCAATCACAATGCACTGGGTCAGCTGGCCAATCAGAGCAGACTGCGCTTGTCAAAGGAGGGGGCTTTGTTGAAAATGATGCATAGAGGGCCTACAATAATGTACAGTATTTGAAAAATAATGTGTTTTTTGAACATTAAAGCATGTCAACATATTCTGTTACACCAAATAACGATCTTTAAAATAGCATCATATGACCCCTTTAATCATTTGAAACATTTGACCAGAAGTGATGACTATGAAGATAGTGAAGATAGAAGAAAATAGTGATGACTAAAATGAAATAATCCAGTTCGTTCTTTTGAAATTATTATTTTTGTTAACTGTTGAACCAATTCACCAAATTGGACTGAACTGACAATGTTTGCGTCTCGAGTCAGCACTGATCCACAAGTTACTCAATCAAAACATTTTCAGACATGTTTGGCAGTCACTTCAACTTTAAATGTGCCAGTATCCTAGAATATATGATCCTATGATGTCAGTGGATTTTGATAACTCATAACTACCAGTGCTCCACTTACTCCCAACAGTAAACTAACTGAACAAGGGTTCCATAAAGGGGAAGGATATTTCTGATGTATTTTGCTGAACAGCAGGAAGTATAACTACTGGAAATATATTTATGGCTTGATTACATCAGTAATTGATCCGGCTCACATGATGCGGTGGCATTAGTTGTTGACTCAACACAGTACATGATATGACAGGCAGGTTTTCAAATGAAATTTTTCACTCAAAAGTCAATTTTTCTACTCAATTTTTAGATGACCAGCCATTCAGAACTTCTACTGGCCGAAACAAAATATCAGGGGAAAAAACAAGATTATCAAAATCACAGTTTAGATTTAAATATATTTATCATTAAATCAAATTCTGACTGTTGAATCTGATTGTTCTCATTGAATTGTTTTCAGTTTTCAGTACCAATTAGCAATTACATTGTGTGAAGAATAATGCATAATACTGTAGATGACATTCAAAATGGCAACATTTTATGTAGTACACAGTCAGCAAATAAATATTGCTGGATTCAGCTTTCATGCTTAGTTTCTTACATCTTATCTTACATTCTTTAACTATTAGAAGTGCCTCAGAACAATTCCTGCTCAGTTTCTGTGAACATTCAACCCTCACATTCTTTGATTTGATTGGTAATCTCAAACTTTTAGACATTGACGAGTGCTGTTATACTGCACTGAGTCTGAACACGCTAAATATATTAAAATTGACTGAAATTACTGATGCTAGCCTAGTACCAACTATGCCCACCCAAAATATAATGTCAGAATTATTGATGACAAAATTATATCCATAAAGGGATTGGACAGAGCATTAGACGAGACAAAACACAACTCAAACATGACTAAACTAGAGTTTACTCACATAAATACAGGTGAGAAAGACAGAAAATGCACAAAACAATCTGGCAATGAGAAAGATATAAATTTTTGTAAATACATCCGATTAATGGTTTGGTTCGAGACCCTGTTTTTCGGTTTTATGTACAAGATACCCCTCGAACAGACTGTGGGCGGTCAGTGGGTGTGACGTCTGAGGCTGAGACTAGCTTGTGAAAGGGTTGTGAAATCACTCTGTTAACACAAATCGTTCGCATCAGGAAAAGGCAAAAAAAATGTGTCAAGCTGTGGAAAGGTGGGAGGGTAGAGGTTGGGAAAAGGGGAGGGAGCCACACAACAGAAAATAAAACACAGGCCTACTAACTAATTCAATATGCAGTTGAATGAATGCCAAAATGTGGGTGGAGACAGTTGGGGGGGGCACTTCACTTCTATTTTAGAAATATACCCCTATGACAACAGCTCCTTTGCATGTGTCCTAGAAGAAAGGCAGCGAGGCCCAGTGGCCTACCCAACTAATATGGCCAAATTAAAGAGAATAACCTTAATAATTTATATTTATTTCACAACCTCTTCTTCCTCTTTAATATCCAAAGCTGTCATATCATTGCTGTCCTTGTTATCAATTTGAGGATCAAGGAGCACCTCTTAGTGAATGTCCCTAAAGCAAAGCTAAATAATATTTAATTATGTAGATAATTAAAGCAGCACTATGTAACTTTTTTTGTGTTCAAAATTTGCTAAATGTATATAATGAGTGAGTACATCATGAATTCATCTTCCAAACCGCGTTTTTGTCTTATTCCGAATCACTACGGTACACTTATAATAAGTACTTATATTTGGACTATTGTGGCCTGATCGGGGCGTCACTGCTGCGGAGTAACACATACCTGCGTGAATCGCTATAGACATAAACTTAGAGAAGCAGCTCCGGTTGGAATGTTCTTCCGCAGGATGTGTGCAGTTCTGTTTATTAACCGCTAGAGCACCAAAAGTTACATAGTGCTGCTTTAACTAACTAGAAAATCCTTGGTCAGGTAAATGACAAGTATTTATTAACATTACACCAAAAGTTGTAGGTCATAATGTGGATGAATGATTGACATTTCAGCACTTCATGAACAGACAGTGACTTAAGTATCATGTGAACTGCATATTTGGGAAACACGTAAAAAAGGAACAGACATTTGTAACCTTACGCATAAAAACCCTCTTAAGAGTACCCACTGGGAAATGCTTCCAGGTCACTGCGTTACGCAATGGAGGGTTTTTCTTTTGCGTCCTTTCCCTCTCTGCACAACATCTGTTCTTCACTACAGAAGCCACTTAATGGAATTCATTTTACATTGGTTTAATTATACCTTTTTAGGCTGATGATGCACGAGGCAACTTTTTGAGTAATGTTGCTGGGCATCTTTGGTTAATGTTGCCGTCAACAGGCAACCAGGTGAGACACAGGGACCACGACTGATCTAAAGTATCCAGATTGAAATTTGTTACCCATTCTTGATGGGAAAGTGCCCAAGCAACATTGCTCAAAAAAGTTGCCCCGCAAAATTGCTCAAAAAATTGCCCTGTGTATCATCAGCCTCACTTCAAAATAAAAACATTATTGTAACTTGACAAATCATAAAACTTGAATGTGTCCACAAATGTTTCATTACAAAAGCGAATAATACCGATTTCCAGAGACCAATTAGTCCAATAACCTTTTGAGTAAATCTCAGACCTTGATATTCAAATAAAACAGAAAGTTAGAAAACATAGATATTCATTAAATATCATACCCTACATTTTAACATTTTGGATTGCAACATTTAAGCGCATTAAAATGGGAATTATATGAAATAGAAATCAAACTTTTTAATTTTTTGATGAACAAAAGAATAATACATTTTGAAATTTTTTTCAACTTTCTCCATCAAAACATTTCCATCACAACATGTTCTTCACACTGGCTGTATTATGAACATTGATCTTCATTACACAAACATCTCACAGGGACACCTGTGGGATTTTATCACAGAGGTAATTTATATTATTTTTTTTTTTCAAAAACAACTCCAAACATTCAATTCAACTCTGAAAAAGTTAAAATTTTCTTGATTATTAGCTTCTCTAAGACTTGAGACTCTTAAGACCAAACAAGAATCAGAATTAGCTTTATTCACCAAGTGTGCGCAAACACACCAGGAATTTGTTGTGTTTTTTAAGGAGCTCTTGGTACATACATACATGCATGCATACATACATACATACATATCTGACATGAGAACAGAAACATTTAAATAAGTAAGACTTAGCAATAAATAATAATGGTGTGTATGAATCTGGAACAGAAGATTTATGTACAGATTTGTGCATTATTTACTCTATATATACAGCTGTATAAAAAAAAAACAATCACTGAGAGCAACGGTAAAGCTAAAGAAAGTCATCTCTAGCCAATTTTAAACATTCTAAGGCATGAAAAAGCAATACAATGGTCAAAGAGATCCATCTAGTGTACGTTTACATAGGAATACAACTGAAAAACAGCACGGGCAGATTCAAAAACACTTTCAGTGTGAACGGCAATCAGTATCATGGTCGTTTTTTACTGATTGATGAACTGTGTCAAATCGATTCACCACTTAAAAAAAACTAATTTTGGCTAATTCACTGAAAAGAAAGTACCAATTCAAAAGAATGATTAATTTATGAATGAATGGCATTGTCAGTTTAGTCAACAGATGTACAGCATACACATAATATTTCTACTTAATATTTACAGGGGGAAAGTTTTCCAGATATAGCCGTAGAGCTGCAGGCACCACTGACATGTCTCATTCTGTGGTGTTGCTTCAACCCTTTAAATACATTGGTTTGCCTAAATCTGTGACTCCATATTTCCCTCTACAGGTTCGGAGGGGTCCACGCACAGTTCAGAGTGAAACAAAGTATGTAGAGTTACTAGTGGTCAATGATTATGAACTGGTAAGATCTCTTATTTATTTACTTTTACGTTATTATTTTCTGTATTTCTTTTTTCATGTAATATTTGTCTTGATGTTTCTCTTTGTAGTTTGTACAGATGCGAAGATCAGCCCCTCAGACGAGGAACTTTGCCAAAGCTGTAGTGAATATGGCTGATGTTGTATGTCCTGAAGTTTGACAGACATATACACAGTCTTTCTCATGATGTTCTCTTTGAGTAAGTACTGTAGCAATTTTTATACTTAACAAAACATCCTATTAAATTCCAGATTTACAAGGAGCAGCTGAACACTAGAATAGTGCTTGTCGCCATGGAGACATGGTCAACTCAGAACATGGTTTCTGTTGGCGACGACCCTTTGGTGACCCTGCGTGACTTTATGAAATACAGGAAGGAGAATATCAAAGAGAAGAGTGATGCAGCTCACCTGCTCTCGTATGTTATGTTTCCTTCTACATACAGATGACACACTCAGGCTCGGTCACTGCATTAAACACATGCAATATAAATATATTGAATGTAAATATCCATTCAATGTAATTAACACTGTGTTCTAACCAGTCGCAACATGATAAGATTCCAGCAACAAACAATTTGTCTATCCACATCAGAAATGAAACAGATATGAGACACGACAAAATCAATCATAGCCAATCAGAGCAAGTGCACTTACACTCCAGCGAAATAGATAAGTACATAATGTAATTCATAAATATTTAAAAAATTTAACATTATTAAAAATACATACTGAGTGACTGATACAATCTTTGTCATAGAATAAACTTTGTTTAAATTGAGTTCACATTAATGTTCTGAGGTAAATTATGCATGGTCGCTTTTAGTATAATATAAAAGTCATGTAAGGTGATATTCAAACTCACTTTACACACATTAGCACATAATCAGTGCCTGAGATTATCACTGTTGTAGTTTGTATGCTGTTCAAGCCGCCGCCTCAGATTAACATGGAAAAGATACATTTTATTGTGTGTCGTAGATTTGTGTCGCATCTGGTTAGGACACTGTGTTAAGCCCCATGAAACTTACTTTAGTTCATGTTTGTTAGCCTTGAGGTCATCTATATTCTAGTGTACCTCCAAAAGTTTTTAAAACCTTGACCAAAATTTACTAAAAATAAGCTTTAGAAGTGTTTTTCATTGTTAGTTTATGTAAACTAATGTAGTTAACTAATGTTAACAAATGAAACCTTAAAATGCACTTTTATATCCTTCCCCCTAAACACTCGTTTCAGTCAGAAATGCATCAATAGAGGGAAAAAATGTTTTTTGTCAAACCATTTCATGGGGCCTTATGCAATGCATTTGCATTATGATAACCAACTCTGTAAGAAGCTTTAAACCTGAAAATGTTCTTGGTATTATTTGGCCCGTAGGGGACGCACATTTCAGAGCAGAAGCAGTGGCACTGCCTACTTTGAGGGGATCTGCTCACCAACACGAGGAGGAGGAGTCAATGAGGTGAGAGCTAAATGGCTGAAGCTCAGAGCTGCCAAATAGCAAAAAGCAACACTGAGCCATCACCATTTTGCCCTTAAGTCACTTTGTGAACGTGAATTGACCCTATTTTCTTATTATAAATGACTGGTGTTCCAAAGAAAAAAAAGTTTGTCTTCATAATCTCAATCAAATAATTTCCAAATAAATATCAAGGTCTGTTAATTTTCAACAATCATGTGCCAACAGTATTTCAGAAGGGAGCAAGCTCTGCAACTGGCTGCAGATTCACCTTTAAATATGGCTTCATTCTAGAATAGAACAGACACTTCTTTTATTTTAAATGTCAATTCATTGACTTTGTCCTATCCCAGCCCAATTTGCAGAGCCAACTATAAGTAATCCGATAGTCAGTTGATTTGCATTCACTGTTCATTATTTGCACATTGCAACCAGCCTGACAAAGCAAAATTGGTTCAACCAGTGGTGTCAGATGAGGTGGAACTGCAGTGCCCTCCAAATGCTCAACGTTTCAGAGTGGGATTTTGGACAATATCAGCATAAATCTTTATCAGTTCTTGGTTTAAATGTAAAATCATTTCATTGATCGTTGACCAACAATAAGGATTTTCTTTTTGATTACTTATTATAAATGGCAATATACACATGACAGTCAGACACACATCATGCACCTTTAGCAGCTCTGGTACCTAACTGATGGATTAAACTGTGTCCAAGTTTTTGTTTTAAGGTTATTGGGTCAGCACTGCTTTATAGCTTTACTGATTGACCAAGGTCAGTACACTACAGACCAATTAGAACACTGTTTAGAGATGTTTTTAAATAACTTTTAGTACAATATTTTTTATATCTTGTGTTTTCCCCTTATCAGTTCAAAGTTATCACAAAATGATAAGGACTTGCTGATGTTGTTCTTTGCCTAGAATGTTTCCAAACTTTTGGAAGGCACAATATACATGTTTATTTTACAATTCCACTTGATGCTGCTAATAATCACCACGGGGGTTATTTCTAATAATAAGCATACTGCAAAACACTTTGTATTAAATCATCTGCTAAATGACTATTAACTTTCCATCTGTGTGTGCATGTCAGTATGGAAACGTGGGGCCCATGGCTATAACCTTGTGTCAGAGTTTAGGACAGAACCTTGGTATGATGTGGAATAAAGATCGTGCTACTGCAGGTAAACATCCTTCCAACTCTTGATGAAATATAACAAAATAGATGAGGACTGCTGACTGTTGTAATGAATGTGTGTGTTGTAGGAGACTGTAAGTGTCCAGATCCATGGTTAGGCTGCATCATGGAGGATACCGGGTGAGTCATGTTTTTTGGTCTTTTTATAGGTGCATTTTTAATTTTAATACTCATGCTAGATAAATGTACGATACAAGTGCATAAGCTCAATCACAAATGTTTGGCAATTGCATTGCAAGCATGAGGTCCCATTGTACATGATGTGCTTGATGAGAGTTCTTGCAAAGGTTGGGCAAATTCAGAAGTGAGGAACTGAATTTAACTAACCATACCCCCACAGGATGACAGAAAGAGGAATTTACTGAATTGAAACACAGTTAATGCATTCTGGAAGTGCTCTTCCACCCTGGTCCAATAACATTGAATAATTAAATAAATAACATTTATGTAATTCTCTCTGCCCCCAAGACCTATAAATCCTCAAACTCACAAACAAGGCTGTCAAACCAACAAAGTTTAAGACACATATATGTACATTTCTTTGAATTTAAATGCAATGCAATTCTACTTCAGTACATTAACCGGGTGAGTCATGTTTTTTGGTCTTTTTATAGGTGCATTTTTAATTTTAATACTCATGCTAGATAAATGTACGATACAAGTGCATAAGCTCAATCACAAATGTTTGGCAATTGCATTGCAAGCATGAGGTCCCATTGTACATGATGTGCTTGATGAGAGTTCTTGCAAAGGTTGGGCAAATTCAGAAGTGAGGAACTGAATTTAACTAACCATACCCCCACAGGATGACAGAAAGAGGAATTTACTGAATTGAAACACAGTTAATGCATTCTGGAAGTGCTCTTCCACCCTGGTCCAATAACATTGAATAATTAAATAAATAACATTTATGTAATTCTCTCTGCCCCCAAGACCTATAAATCCTCAAACTCACAAACAAGGCTGTCAAGCCAACAAAGTTTAAGACACATATATGTACATTTCTTTGAATTTAAATGCAATGCAATTCTACTTCAGTACATTCAAATTTAAATTGCAATTCTGCATTTTGTTTTCTACCGTAATTCAGATTCACTTTAAATTTAGGAATTGAATTAGAATTTTAACCATTCTCAATTCATTTCTGAATGGCACACAACCTTCTTGCATTACTGTAACCTCAGTGCTCAAGTAGGTCATAGACTTCAAATGTCTTTGCCATTAAACCGGATTGTTACTCTTCAGATTGCTAGCTCTGCAAGATTCTGTTTGAACTGTTGCTTCACCATGAGAGTATTTTTCATTTCAAGTCATTTCAAGTCTTAATGTTCACAAATTATTTTGTTTCTGTTGCACAACTGGTGGACCATATATTAGCGATACTGAAGTCATAGATTTCATCCCTAGGATGACCCATAATGTATACACTGAATGAAGTTGCTTTGGATAAAAACATTTAAATTACATTTCGCTGTTCCTTATCAATTAGTTTTACACACTTTCCATGTAAGGGTAACTGAACACTGTGAACTGTATTATATCATCCTGACAGATACTATCTACCCAGAAAGTTTTCACGGTGCAGTATAGAGGAGTACATTCAATTCCTCCAGCAAGGAGGAGGGAGTTGCCTCTTCAATAAACCTAACAAGGTTTGTCTGGAACACCCACTAAAAATGGGAGAGAAAAATTATTAGCATATATTTGCGACAATACAACATTACAAGCAAAAAAAGCTGTTTTATTGACTAAAAAGTAGGGTGATTTTATCAAATGCTACGGTGCATTTTCACAGACAATATTCTAGCAAATTGTGTAGTCTTTGACCTAATCTTTGTGGAAGGACAAAAAGACATTTTACAACAGCAGATGTTATTTTATTGAGCGTTAACAACGCAATATGCTGAGTCCTGGATATTCAGCCTGCCAGTCACAGTGATGGTGACATAACTTTTGCAAGCCAATGACAAAGGTACACTGAGCTTACAACACTTTCATAATTAAAATGAATTGCAAATATATAATTAATTATGCCCTGTACAAATCTGTCAGTATAAACTGTAAATTGCAGTTTACCTGTGCTGCTTATGCCACATTGAATGCTGGAAATTGGAACCCCACTCCTAAAGCACCACAGACATCACACTGCCCCTTCTTAATTCTCAGGTAGGCTTTATTTTCCTTGATATTCTTGAGTGTTCTCTGTTAATTCCAATACCATATTAATTGTCCATGAGAGAGATGGACAGGCTGCTGCAGACACTAATGTGTGAGTACCAGCACATAGCGCATAGGCACACAGTGCCTGTGCCTTCTGCACATCAGTACGCAATGTTCGTCTTGTGACCGTTGTGGTGGAGATCCAGTGACTTGAAGCATTGTAGAGTGTCTTCTATCTCCTTCTCCAGAGATCCTAATTCTGACACTAATGTAGCAAGCAATGAGTTCACAAACTTGGAAAATTAGAAGACAGCTAAGTGTAGATTTTTACACTCTAAAAAATGCTGGGTTAAAAAAACAACCCAACTTGGGTTATTTGGCAACCCAGCACTGGGTAAATATTGGCTAGAACACATGCTGGGTTATTTTGACCCATGCAGCTGGTTGGGTTAAATGTTCTTACCCAACATGCTGGGTTGTTTTATTTAAGTCAACTCTTATTTCAAAATTATTATATTGCTGGCTTAAAATGGGCTGGAAATTAAAAATCACACTCAGAATTACTAGAGGCAACAGCAATAATCAAAAAATGAACATTTATTATTAAGAACACCCATGGACAAAATACAAGACAAATTTAATTTATTTGGAAGAATACAGCATAGTTTATAATATTACATACATTTAAACTCATTTAACAAGCATTTTAGGAATAAAAATGTAACATTTAAAAGTAGCATTTTAATGTAAGTGTATTCAACCGTTCTCTGTAATCACTTTTCACTGAAATAGCACTAATTCTCGTGCCGGTGTGCCACTGTAATTTGAGCCGGTGATGGACTGCTGTTCGCCGGGGAGCTGCAAACCTCAGACTGCCGCCTCGCGTTTCACTCGTAGCTGAAAGATGCCGTTACTGACTCCATAACCTGCCCATAAACAAACAGTACTGAGATTAGAGAACATATTTAAACAGCAAATTCATTTAAACTCAGTATTATAATGAATAAAATCAATTTATGTTATGCAAAGCAAAAGGCGTTTCCATCATGCGAAGCGGCCGCTGCTGACTGACATCTCATCCTTATGTTGCGTTGTGTAAAATAATATAATTTACAGCACAGTAAAGACATTATAAATGTAATAAAATGTATACGATCCTTTATTTCTCTGAACAAGTGCACAAAATCAGCGGCTCTGAGAACTGCTCTCTTCTGACTGTAACTCTGCAGCTGGGTTGTTTCGTTGGAGACAGGCTCAACCCAGCATTTGGGTAGAAAAAAAGAACCCAGCATAAAAAAAGAACCAGCAGCTTAGTTACAGAAAAACTACCCAGCACCTGGGTAAAAAATATTAAAAACAACCCAATAAAATGACCCAACAAGCTGAACCCAGCATTTGGGGTAAAAAATAAATAAATAAATAACCCAGCACCTGGGTAAAAATATTAAAAACAACCCAATAAAATGACCCAACAGGCCGAACCCAGCATTTGGGGTAAAAAAATAAATAAATAAATAACCCAGCACCTGGGTAAAAATATTAAAAACAACCCAATAAAATGACCCAACAGGCCGAACCCAGCATTTGGGTAAAAAAAAAAAACAGAATTTTTTAGAGTGTATGGTTGTTAGAATGGCAAGGTACACTACACTCAGCATAACATAAAAATAATCAAATTCAACACCAATGAAAATTATACAAAAAAAAAAACGTGCCACTTATGCAGTGCATGCTGGCAAATGGAACATCTTCCAAATAAAATGACCCAACAGGCCGAACCCAGCATTTGGGGTAAAAAAATAAATAAATAAATAACCCAGCACCTGGGTAAAAATATTAAAAACAACCCAATAAAATGACCCAACAGGCCGAACCCAGCATTTGGGTAAAAAAAAAAACAGAATTTTTTAGAGTGTATGGTTGTTAGAATGGCAAGGTACACTACACTCAGCATAACATAAAAATAATCAAATTCAACACCAATGAAAATGATACAAAAAAAAAAAAACGTGCCACTTATGCAGTGCATGCTGGCAAATGGAACATCTTCCACCACAGACATCACAATAAACATATGAAGTAGTTTTAATGTATAATGGATAGATTTAGGTTCCTTAGCTTGCTCAACACTGCATATTTAATATAAGTATGGGGCAGTGACATATTTACTGTCGCTACAGTTGTTGGATCCTCCTGAATGTGGCAATGGCTTTGTGGAACAGGGAGAAGAATGTGACTGTGGCTCCCAAGTGGTGGGTGACAAGATAACGTCACACACATTTCCTTATATAATTTATTATATCCACACCCTGCCTTAAAGGGATAGTTCACTCAAAAATGTTTATTCTATCATCATTTACAAACATTTGGCACACAATAAACATATGAAGTAGTTTTAATGTATAATGGATAGATTTAGGTTCCTTAGCTTGCTCAACACTGCATATTTAATATAAGTATGGGGCAGTGACATATTTACTGTCGCTACAGTTGTTGGATCCTCCTGAATGTGGCAATGGCTTTGTGGAACAGGGAGAAGAATGTGACTGTGGCTCCCAAGTGGTGGGTGACAAGATAACGTCACACACATTTCCTTATATAATTTATTATATCCACACCCTGCCTTAAAGGGATAGTTCACTCAAAAATGTTTATTCTATCATCATTTACTTATCATTTACAAACATTTGGCATTAGCCATTGACTCCTATAGTATGGAAAAAATACTATGCAAGTCAGTGGTTACCATCAACTGTTTGGTTACCAACATTGTTCAAAATATAATATTTTGTGTTCAACAGAGAAAGAAACTTGTACAGGTTTTGAACAAGAGGAGGGTGAGTTTTCATTTTTGGGTGAACTGTCCCTTTAAAGAGTGCTCATATAAGAGAACAGGAAGGTGATTTTTGCAATGCTGTGATAAGCTAATGGGATGTTTTTATTGGATGTGCACTCTTGTAGGATTGCTCTCGTGCTGGGGGTGCATGCTGTAAAAAATGCACTTTGACCCATGATGCAATGTGTAGCAATGGACTCTGTTGTAGCCGTTGCAAGGTAAGTGGTGTTAGAATTGTTCACCTAAATTTTAATTATCATCATCATGTCATGACCAAGAGTTGTCAATCTCCAAATAGGACCAAAGGACCATCATAGTGGTGATTTTGGTTCTTTTTGGAGCTAGCTAGTCCTTGTTCATTAAACGTCATAGAAAATGTCCATAATACAATAGCTTTGTGTAGCTTTATGACTTTCTTTCTTCTGTGGAACACAAAGAAAATGCAAGTAATTACTGGTAATGAAAAAAACTTTTAAGATTTATAAAGAATGCACCATATAAGTAGACCATATGTTTTGTGCTATATTCCAAGTCTTCCAAAACACGTGGATTGGGTGAATGGATAAAAAAAAATGTTAGATGGTAAAATATATTGGTAACACTTTACAATAAGGTTCATTAGTAAAACATTAGTTAATGTATAAACTAACATGAACTAACCATGAGCAATACATTTGTTACTGTATTTACTAATCTTCACTAAGGTTAGTTAATAAAAATACAGATGTTCATTGTTAGTTCATGTTAGTTCACAGTGCATTAACTAATGTTAACAAGATTTTAATAAGCACGGCCAGGCCAACCACAGGTAACTAGGGTTATGTATGCTGTAGCCTGCTGGGGATTGGTGATACTCACAAGTAAGGTCAATAGAAACACCGGTAATGATGGTCACTGCTGAGGGAAATGTTGTCCGACCTTACATGTTTGAGCCGAACTCAGACACCGAATCGGCTACGACAGGAGACAACCAACCACCTCCTCAAACGCTCTTGCAACAGGATGTTTCAGAATGGTAATTCGTGTTTTTTTTTAAACACCGAATGCAGTAAATACAAACCTGACCAGCCGAGCGTTTGTACAAATGCGGATGTGTGACATGAATGAAAATGATTCCAGATTGGCGATGTAGTATTTGGTTTCTGTATTCTGTACTGTACTTGTCTGGAGATTTGGCAAAAGGAGAGTGGGACTGTGGGCAGTGCTCGGAGTCGTGACTAAAGGGGGTGACTGAATAGTTCTGACGTCACCTTTTTACGGAAGTCACAACTGCTTTACGAAAAATCACAGCTACTTTATGCAGGCTGTGTGCATTTGACTGTGGATTGACTGTTTTGAAACTTATATGGTAGTTACATAGACCTCGATTATCATGAAAAAAGCCAGGAAATTTCTGTTTTGACAATATGGGACCTTTAAAGGGGTCATATAATGCTATTTCAAGTTTTCCTTTCTCTTTGGACTGTTACAAGCTGTTCGTGAATAGATAAGATCCCTAAAGTTGCAAAGACTAAAGTCTCAAACCCAAAGAGATATTCTTTATAAAAGTTAAGACTCGTCCATGCCTTCCTAAAACGCCTCGTTTAAACACCCCCCCATGTCACTGTGTGGGAAGATTGGCATGACATCGCCCAAATGTTTACGCAAAGAAAGAAGGCATTACTTTTATTCTTGCTGTAGTATTGTTGCTGCCATCGCCACCATGTCGTGGAGACACTGTGTGTTTCGTTGCGAAAAGCGAAAATACTTTGTTTGGCCTTCCAAAAGAGGGCACAACTAGAAATCAGTGGTTAAGTTGTATTTACAATGCTGTTCCAGAACAGTTCAACCCAAATATTCATGTGTGTGCCACGCATTTTATGGAGCACTGTTTCCTGATCCTGGGAGAGTAGCCTACAATGCCGGCTGTTCTGACTCTCAGCCTGTAAGTATGTTTTCATATTTAAAGAATTGGCCACTGACTATTCAAACGCGAGTTTTGAGCAGTGTATTGCTTGTTGTTTGTCATTTCTCCGATCACAAATGCAGACATGGTTTTATGTTTACACGGTGCGATGCAACGCAGCGCGTAAAAAGACAGTATAAGTCATTATAATCAGTAAGTATGTCCCTACTGGATGCAACAAATGCCCCGTTTATAATGGGTTTTATTGTTTTTTTCTCGTCGCACCGGGACACGGCATCACAGTATGGTAAGGGGCGTAACATTTCCGTCACACGCTTGAGATATTCGGCCAATCACACCGCACTGGATAGCTGGCCAATCAGCGTACACCTCGCTTTTCAGAACGATGAGCTTTGTAAAAATCGACACTTTTCAGAAAGGCAGGTCATAGAGGAGCAACAATAATGTTTAGTATGTGGAAAATGTGTTTTTTGAACCTTAAACTGCATAAACACATTTCATTACACCAAATACACCAGATAATGTTCTTTTTAGCAATGTCATATGACCCCTTTAACTTTTGATGTATCTCCTGAGTTTTACACAAACTATTATACTGACCAACAAGTGACAAAAAAACTGATAAGAAAACCCCCCTAAAACGGCTCGTTCTAACACGCCCCCACATATCTAGGTCACTATGTGGGAATATCTGCATAATGTGCCCAAATGTGCATACACCAAATACACAAAATAATGATCTTTAAAAAATCATCATATGACCCCTTTAAAGCAGCGCTGCGCAGACTTATCGGTATATGACAGCAAAGTACTGCGAGAGCTATAAAGAGCAGATGGCTCTGTATGCTTTCCAAGCGCTCTCACAATACTTGGATGTTATACACCGATCAGTCTGCACAGTGCCGCTTCAAGTTGAACATATACCTAATGAAAATGTTACACATGAAGCAAAGTATTCACATGGCAAGATCACATATCAAAACAAGAAACATGACTTTGACAAACTTAAAAATAAAAGACTAAACTAAAAGAGACATGCCATGTACAATTGCAGACATATTTTCTACAGTTGGCAGTTCTAAAGGATACAAGTATGAATTGTTCAGCAAATCTTTTCACAAAGTCATCTAAATTCAAGACCTTGGTGTGTTTTGACTCAAGGCTGAGAACAGCCAAACTCAACAATCTACTCACTGCTACTGTAGACCTTAGGTGATTCTTCAGAGCTAAAAACAAACTCTGATCACATGTGGCACTGATTACTGGTAATATAACAGCTATTTTGTAAAGCTTGAACTGTTCAAAGAAACATCCTCCAAAAAAGGATTCACTGCAATAATGGATCGCTGTTTCTTATAGTGAATCAATGAGTTCAACAGCCTTGGAGTGGTCAACAGATTTAGACTTTAGCTTCTCAGGCAAAATATAAATGTCACTTAACACTTTTTGGAAGAGCACAAGACTTCCAATTTGGGCCATACCTTTCGCTTCCATGGATCATTAAGTTTTTTTGTTTTTTTCCCCCCTTAGTACTTACCAAATACAGGCAATCCATTCATGACATTGCAACATTAAATGTTTGCAAGCCCAGTGTGTTGCCACTAAGTTACTGAAGCTCCTTTGATACTCTGTCATGCATATTCCGCTGCACTTTAAGCCATTTTCAATGGATGTAAGATCCGGATAAGAAAATGTCTTTCCAACAAAGAAAAACCCAGCAGCTTTCTACCCAAGTAATTTTTTTATCAGTCATTATTTCATCACATTTTCATCTCTACATATTGATGCACCACTAAAAAAGAATCTATGAAGAAATACCATTTTACTTGTTTGTAACTTACAGTATATGGCCACTCAGACCACTGACTTGAGATAATACTTTTAGATGTACTGTCGGATGGTTTCTATTCTACACCTAGCGGTACATTTGAGCATATCTCAGTGATATTAACTCATTCAGTCATTTCCCTCAAATCACCTCATCATGATAAAAAAAAAATTAAAAAACGACAAATAGGCAATTCTAAATGAGTCCATTTGAAACTGTAACGGGGCTGACCAGACGTGAGACGTGTGGATCCATATGCAAGCTCTTATTTAGGAGAAGACAGAGACGTGGTCATACAACAGGCATGGGTCAGATAAAGGCAGACAGGTATATGGCGGGCAAAACACAAGAATAGTCCTAGGACTAGCGTAGGTCGACGATCAGCAGACAGAACCACAGGGGCGAGACTAGAGGGATAAATCCAGGGAGACAGGCAAAGATCAGAACCGAGAAAACTGACAAGGCAAGGCAAGGCAAAACAAGGAAACAAAACTAATAGGCTAAGTAGTGTAGCTATCAAACTGATAAGTGCTCAACAATACTCTGCAGTGCAATGGGATAAGAGTGAGAGTTAAATAGGGGATGTGTGAGTGATAACAGCTGTGTGCAATCAGTGCTGTGCAATCAACAGTGTGTGTGTCGTTAGTGCAGTGGATGGTGGGATATGTAGTCCGGGGTGATATGCAACAGTGTGTAGTGCAAGAGTCAATGAAATGGGAAGGGTGACCTCTGATGGCTAGCAGACGGAAGTTCATGGACCGGATACGTGACAGAAACTCAATGCAACAACAATGTAAACGCAACAAAATTAAGCCATGACCCCAAGTCATCCCTTATTAAAAATGCATATAGCACATTATACTGTACATTTAAAACCATCAAGTTAATAATGCAAAGAAGAACAAGGAGAATATACAATATTTTTAATTGATTTTTAATTTATAAATAGACTTTGAAAAGCCTTTGATTACTGACTTGATCTTGTTAGGTACATCTATTGTTGTCACCGGGAAAACTTATCTTGCAAGCGCCAATCTGGCAGCTAGAAAAAGAGAAATTTGAAATGCTAATTGGTCCAGGAAAATACTAAGATTTATATTTAATACATTGGCATACTAATGTAGAGGTAGCAATGTTTTCTCTTAGGGTGGCAGTTGCCACCCCATGTCACAGCCTCAATGATTCATTCACAAATCAGACTCTTCTAAGTTAGTCGACTCCATTATCCAATCTACAATGGAGCTGTGCGTTCACTGAAGAGAAGGATCAGTGAATAATTTTTTAAATTTCAGCATGTTTCTCCCATCAATATGTTGTTTAAAATTTATCCTATTGTGTTCCACAGAAAAAAGAAAGTCATAAGGCCAATTCACACTGCACCGGCTGATGCACATCAACGGCCAATGTCACCAGATTACAGTATGTCACTTTTCAGACATTCCAAGACATCCCAAATGCTGGTTCTACATCAAAAATAGGCACTAACCAATGCCAACGGATGCTGACAGGGTAACACTGATCTGACAAAACCAGACAAACGTGTCTGTTGCTGTCTGTTGGTGCAGTGTGAATTGGCCTATACAGCTTTGGAAGAGTATGAAGGTGCACTATTCATTTTTGAAGGGACTAGTCATCAGTCGATCTTTTTTTATAATTTAGTGTGATTCATTTCGTTTGTACGTTGCAGTATGAGCAGAGAGGAGTGATCTGCAGGGATGCAGTGAATGACTGTGATGTGCCGGAAACATGCACTGGCGATTCGAGTAAAGTAATTATACATTTAAATCATTGTTATCATAATAATAATAATCCTAATAATGTAAGAAATTTACATATGCTTCTCATTAATTTCTCAAACAGTGTCCACATAATGTCCACAAACTGGATGGTTACATGTGCAATGCTGGACTGGTAAAATAATTTCAGTTTTTCTGTCTAATATGAACCTTACATGTTTCTTGCAACCATAGTACTAAGCATTGTTGTTTACATGATTTACTGCATAACACTGGCAGACATATCTCGTTAAACAATTACATGGATAAGATTTAAATTAAAATTAATTTAAATGTTCCAGTGAGGGGCACTCAGTAATTTTTTTTGTTTGTTGTGCTGGCTGATTTGGCAGTTGGCTTGAACTTTGTTTAACTTTTCAGTATATGGACACAAAAGTGTTCAAAAGTGTAAGTCAGGCTGTGTAGACGGTATGCTGATGTACTCTCTTCTTGCTCTGTCAGGGGCGCTGCTATGGGGGTCGCTGCAAGACCAGGGATGCCCAGTGTCAGGTGCTCTGGAGCCACAGTGAGTAGCGTCTCTTATATTGTACAATATGTATTGGTTATAATGAATATTATTAGGAATGAATATTAACTATGGATATAGACATTTTGATTGATACCAGCTGCTAATAATTGTTTTAGTCAGTGTAGATCTATACTGTTTAGATTTTTAGTTAAATCTCCAGTCTTTAATTTTACATTATTCATATAATGCTTCGTCAGGCATCTAAATATATTAATGTAAACAAAGAGACTAATGATTAATGAAACGTAAGATGCCTGCAGAACTCTGCACTCAGGTGATTTTAAGATTTGAGGTGGTTGTAGAAAAGAGTGATGATAGAGGCACAGATGAGGAGAAGCAACTGGACTGTGCTAATATTGATAACCTGCACCAGACAGGATATTAGAGCTGTATGAATTTGTCAGATGAATTTCCTTAGATTACTTGCTCCTATTTAGATATTGGTTTGCATGGCATCAAATGATGGCTGTGATTACATAGTGATTTTAAAATAGTGCAATGAATCATTTTGAAAATTATTTTTTTGGTTTTAAAAATGTCTGCTTGCAACTCATAAATATGGGTTATTAAAATATGATAAAAAATTTATTACAAATTAATAATATACCATACAATTAAGAGTAACCTGGATGAATTAATGCTATAAATGTATTGTTCATTGTTAGTCCCTAGTTGTTAGTTAGTATCCAAGGTTATTTTAAAAGAAACATGTTTTTAAAACATAAATTTGAAAGAAAACCTTTCCATCACTGATAAGCTTGACACATACTCTATAGAACTACCCATTTTACTCACCAACATCTCCATCAACATTAGTGACTTGTACTACTGATTTCAACCAGAATGGCAAAGAGAGAAATTTCAGTTGTATTTGTCAGGGAAAGTGTCACATGAAAGTAACATGTTACACATATTAGTACATATAAAGTGTAACACATCAATTCTTTTAGAATACATTTTGTACATGAACAATTATGATTTGTGTAAAATCAAATCATCACTGAATATAAAAAATACTGTAAATGATTAAGAAATAGGTCTCTGAGACAGTAAATACACAACAAACCTGATATTTACAGGTCACTACTTTCTCAGCAGTAACATTAAACCTCTAAGCTCATCACTAGAATAAAATATTCGGCACATGGACATTTCTGACCCTGAATGAGACCATTAAATGCTTCACTGTAAAAGATGTTTTTACAGAAAATAAGTTTTTACAGAAAATACAATAAAAAGCTACAGTAAAAACCCTTACCTGAATGTGTCACGCTGTCTACAGTGTAGCAGCGAAGGAGATATACATAGAACAGTCTTTAATGATCCAAAACAAAAGGGAACACAGGGCTGGCAGGAACACACATAGCACATTGCGTGGACGTGAACAAAATGACATTAACACTGGACAAAGGAAACCAGGAACAGACACCACTATATATACACAAGACTAAACGAGGGTAATTGACAAGACACACCTGAACCAAATGACTAATCAAATGAGAGGGAGAAACTGGGTCATGAGGAGCACATGGGGAGAAAATACAACAAAACAGGAACATAGGTCTGACAGTATGACACATGTTTATATTTTAAATAAATAATTTAGTTTTTGGTAGTTCAAGTGACTTGGCGTATTAACATTATATCACTTAATGAAATTTATGGTTATTTGTAAAATATACAGGCACCAATATGTAGGGGTGAGCGCTATACCGGTATGAAAGTGACTTGAAAGTGATGAAAGTATTATGAAAGTATTATGTTGTTCCATGATATGGATTTTGCTATACCGTAGATACCGTTATAGATTCATGAATTCAAATTTTGCATTTATATAATTTTGTTCAATTTAGTATGCTTTGCCAATTTTAACACAAATGATGATAAAGAGTCGAGGCTGAACGTTTGTGTCCTCTGTGTGCAACGCCGTGCTACACAGGCATTAGTAATCAAACACATAGAGCATCGTAACAGACCAAATTAATAGAGCGCAAATCGCCTACTCCAGTTGAACTGGGGGGGGGGGCGCAGCAAGGCTGAGGGATAGTGTACAGTC